CTATACTTTAGGCTTAATATACCAACACTCACTACACACCACCACCACCACCTCCTCATGGCCCCCTTTCACCCCTGTCACTAAAATCATAATGTGCAGACAGTAGTCAAACTATTCTATCTGGATAAATGCATTCTGGCTTTTATGGCTCCTCCTATTTTGAGAAATCAAGCGTGACATGACACACAATGGCTTTTATATAGGTTAGATGTCTTAGGAATTAGATTAGTGTTTAGACAGTATTGTCTGGTACTGATTAATTGGTTTTATCTCTAATATTAACTTACACATTCCTTGTAACTAGTTTATGTAAATTCAGTGATGCATGACTCTATATGCAGATTTCTTGAAGGAAAATAGGGTTTTTGTTTGCTCTTTTCTTCCATACATCTAGAATTTAAGTTTGGAAAAGTTATTTGTGAAAGTTCATGTTTTTTGTATTTTCCTCTACACTATTTAAATCTGTTTTTAGACTACTATCTTTATTTTAAATGCCCCAGTGATTATAGAGACTTTGAAGATTTATAAAGCTAAAAATTGATATCCATGGTGGAACATCACTTGTAGCCAATTATGTCACTTTAAAATCAGCTTTAACTGTGAAGCTGAGGTTCTGTGGTTCTCATCTCATTGCCCCTCCAAACAATATATATAAAATGCTATGAATTTCTGGAGCTGTGGGTGAGCTATTACAGCGATGAATCTTTCTAAAAGGATATCCTTATCTCTCTGCACACAATAGCTATTCCTGTCATGCATGCCACTAGCCTTGAGTTAAGACATGTGTTTTAACCTTCACCAATAACCTATGCACAGTGATCCCCATAGCCACTTGCACTTGAAACTGACTTTATTTCTCTTTCTTGGCACTGTTGTGAATGGATGTGTTTTTGAAGTTTAAACATTATTCATTGGAGTTAGATTTCCACTGTCTTTATTACAGCATTAACTTTCATTCATTTTGTTTTATTTGATTTCAATGGGCATTGCCTTTCAGTTATTGTGTATTAAAAAATAAAAATCTGGAGGATTCCTATAATCACAATGAATTTTCAAGTGACAGTGACTACTACTTCCTTCCAAGGTTCTGACACTGTAGCTCTCACTGACCAATTAACTGTGGAGACCTTTACTGCCATTATTTAACATGTCATGAATTTGTTAATGTCTTCAATACCTGAAGTCCCATTTACTCCCTTTAGGGGCTGACACCCTGTTTCCATTAATTCTAATGATCAATTTTTTCATCTTTGCCTTTTTCTGACCCTTTTCCTTCATTACCTATCCTCTCTGAAGACCTAGACTGTAACGTTCAATACCTTGACAAGGGATATTTGTTCTGCTTTGTCCCTGCTTCCTTTGTTACAGGGACCTGAAATGTGATACTCTTCTCTCTGTTATTTGTCCTCCCTGTTCGTACCTTCATGACCTTCATCAGGCTTCTTTTCTTTGCCCTGAAGTCTTCATTGGTGTTTCAAACACCTTGGAGATGGTGGCTGGTACTGCCCAACACCAGTCTTCCCTTTTCTTGGTTTCTTGTCTCTCCCAACCTCTTGAATCTATGCATGTTCCTCAACCCATTGAACCTCTCACCCTTTCTCTTTCTCTCTCTCACACATTCTGTCAGTGACTACCTCCATTTGAATCCAGTTGGCTCGTAACTAATCCTAGTTTCTTCTTGGGAGGCCTTTTTCTTGACCACATCATTTTTCTTCTCAGAGGCTGCTTATCCAGCTGCTTGATTGGTCAAGCTTTCCAAGTCATTCCTCACTCTGATCTAATAATAGGTCCACCCTAGAGTCTTTCTCAGTTCTTGACTCTGTTCGATTCTGCCTTACCCCATTTATCTGCAAGACATGGAGTGTCTAGTCACCTCTACTTCCTGAGCAAGAGGTTTTATCTCTTTTTAGGGACTCTTGCAACTCTCAAACATTTGGTCCCTTTAGGCCTCACTCACATGAGGATTTTTCAGTGGGCTTTAAGTGATCATTGGAATATCTGCATTCTTCTGTCTCTCATGAGGCTTCTGCCTTCTCTACTTGAATATCTGTCATTGTGGTTGGATCGTGCCAACATTGTGGTCAGCATTCCAGTGCTGCCCCCACGTCTGAATCTGTATCTCTTCATTGACCATCTCTTACAGGTTGGGGCACATCTCTGGATGACTCCATTGCCTTAGGGGTTTGGTCTCATGTAGAGCATATTTTTGACATCAACATTCTGTAACTCTTGTTCTAACATAGAGCATGTTCATCTTTCCTACCTTGACTGGTGGATTACTTGTTTATAATCCATTTTGACAATTTTACAGTTGTTTCCGATATCAATTGTTAGGGTGGGACTCACTCCAGAGACCTTTGCATACACACATTGGACTTTTTGTTTAGGTTTCATTCAGATGAGGTTTGTCTAACTGCCTGTCATGACCTGAGTTTTGAACTTGGGAGCAAATCATCTCTTACAACTGGACAGGATTCTTCTTATGGAGTGATTACTCCATCCTCTGGTGTTTTGCTGAATCTGCTCCTAGTTGAGTATGCCAATGATCAATATCTTCACCACTTTTCTCAATTCCAAACTTCCCCTCTTCTGGTCCTCAGTATGCCAACCAGCTGCTTTGGCTGTGGATGCTCTCAGGCAGAACTGGTTTCATCTCTTTGTATGTGTAATCTTTACTACAACCTCATGTGTCTCTTTTTCACCTGGGAGTGTTGTCCCTTTATTTTCATGTGTGTGATTTATCCTGTCCTTTGCTTGTCGATATGATTTCTCCAACCACATAGCCTTTCTACTCTATTCCAGGGCCTTTCTCTTCAGTCAACTTCTCTGTAGAGAGCTCATCTAGGATTTCACAGTTGCACTGGCCAGTCCACCATGTTAGTCTGCTGTCGTATGCAGAAGTAAGGATATTGTTTTGGAAGTTGACATTTTCTTTACCTGAAAATGTATTTCTAATAAATAGATACCTCTCTTCACCCTTCCTACCCACTACTGGTGTAGATTATACTTGCTTCATCTAAGAATGAAGTTAATTTTGAGTACATCTGCCTATGGGGATTTACTGAGCATGGAGGATGTGTCATCCTGTTGGTGGAGGGCTACTGTCTTAGGTGGGAGATAGCTCAAGGCTAGTGGCATGCATAAAATTTGAAAGGCAGGTGTATGAGGAATGGTTATTGTGTGAAGAGTTGTTATTTATCTATTGCAATACATTTTCAGGTAAGGAAATGGTGTTGTTGTCTAGCTGCTTTCTCTCTAGTATATCACTTTAATAATAGGAATAGCTAGTACAGATACCTTTCAAGTAGCTTTGTTCAAAAATCAACAAGTTTATTTTAGTTTAGAGTGAATAAATGTCTAGACCATATTTTAAATTTTTGTGCAAGTTTCTTGTGTGCCTCAGAGTATGTGGGTGGGGGTTTGCTGCATCTGAACTCTGAAAACCCTCATTTACTCTGTGGAAATGTCTCTTAGAATCACGTTTTTAAAGCAGCTGTATGCATATATAAGATGATGTCTGAGCTTAAATGAAGAAATATTAGTATAAATTTGGTAGAGCATAGGATTCTAACATGATAAGCAAAATAGGTTTAAAATAATCTGTACGTGATTATTATCATTGAATATGCCTATTCAGATGATTCATTTGAAGAAGTTCCTGCTCCTGAAGTTTTCAGACAAATTGATCAAAGACTTTTACCACCAAAAAAGAAAATCAACCAAGAAATGTTGTGGGAGAAACCTGTTGTAACTTTTGGTATTAAGAAACTGTCATTGGTAAGTTTGTTTCATCTATACATGTCTATTTTTTGAAGAAGCAATCAAAAACTATGAGATTAAATGTTTTCTTCATGCTGTCAAAATAAAACTCAATTATGAAATTACTTTTAAAATAAGAAAAATCATTTATTGTTATTATTTGAAATTGTTTCATACAAAAATTATAGCCAACAACTGTTATTTACCATATTTGTTTAAAGGTATTACACATTAATGTGAGTATGCAGTTTTTTTAGTTATTTTTTCTGATTACTGATGTGGCAGACTTCAGTTTTATAACACACCAGACTTGTATGTATTACTCAGAATTTGAAAAAACAACAACATAAATTTAACAGAAAATAGTGCTTTTATTTTAGTTTTTTGCTGATAATGTCACCAGTAAGTAAGAAAGGAATTTTTCTATTTTACTGATTTAATAAAAATTAGCAACATATCTAAACAAGAGGGAATCCTCAATAGATGTGGCACTTGAAATTCTTTTAGGCAGGATTAGAATAAATTAATCTATCAGACCTTGGGCATGGTCAAATACATCATTCAAAAGGGTTTGACCTCCTGAGTCTCAAATCAGTCAAGAGATAATGGAGCTATGAGCTAAAAGTTTGTTCATGAAAAAAAATACTAAGAGCCATTCAATGAGCCACTCATCCATGGCTAAAAAGTAACAAATCCTCAAAAGTAGCACTTCATGTGCAGAGTGTTGTTCACAATCTGTAGGAACAACTTACACATCCAATCACCTTGCTTCTGGCTATCCCCATCACCCATGACTTCCCAGGTTGAAAGTCTTAATCCTTCAGATATTGGTAGGTCAAAGTGCAAATGTCACAACCTTTTTACATAGCTACACTTATAACTATTATAAACTACTATATTCTTAAAGTATTCTAATAAAGTTAGCATGAAATGTAGTTTATAATTCAAATTCTAATATTATATAAGTTTTGAAATGAATAAACGGAAATATTTAAATATCTCTTAATCTTCATTTTTATGTATCACATGACACTTTTATACTTTGAAATGGCCATCATAAACATCTTTCCACCCCTATATTCTTTTCTAACTTACACACTTGAAATTTAAACACCCTCCCTCCAGCTAAAATGAAAATTTATAGCATTTATTCTTCTTACATTAATAAGTTATGTGCTATAAACTGAAATTCTTATGCCATGCCCCTCCTAGCACAAGCTGTCTTCAAAAAATGTGATTAATTCTCTCTCTTATTTATTATTGGATTATTATTGTAAAGAGAATATTTTAATTTACTTCATCTTTGTGATGTTAATTCATTCTCATGGTCAATTTTGAGTTATTCTTCATCAATTTCATAGCTTGCTTTTACCAAGATTGCCTCGACCAGGTAAGAAAAATATTAGGTTGTCAAGAAATTAATGTTGCATTTTAGAACACTTTCATTAACCACCCCCCAAAAAATTTACATCACGTATAATAGTTAAACAAACTGCCTAAATGTCACGTTAGTGTAGCCTATATAATGTGTGAAGTTTAGTATGCTCTAATCCCTTATAGGGATGGCACACGACGAGATACACATTCGGCATGTAATGTTGTTTGAAAACTAGAAGGGAAACAATGCCTCTATAGCCACAAAGAATATCAAAGATGTTTATGGAAATGTTTTGAACCTTCGTAAGTGTCAATGATGATTCAACAAATTTCGTTCAAGTGACTTTAGCCTTAAAAACTGTGAGGACAATTATTGATATTGATATTAATGCTCTGAAGATGCTTGTTGAGTCTAACCCAAGGCAACACACTTGTGAAATGGCCCTGAAATTGCATGTCTCTCATTAAA